AGATTGGGGTTCACCAATTAAAAAAAAAAAAAAAAAAAAAAAGAAAAGAAATGATTGACCCTACAGCTGACCCTCCAACATGTGAGAGTTTAGAGCCATGAATTCATATTCAGTGGGAGGTTTTCTCTTCTTGACACCGTTGCCCTGGGAAGAAGCATCAGGAGGTTATGTCTCCCTCCTCAGCACCTCCTACAGAGAGTACCAGCTGGCCCCTTGCTCTGCATCGTGCCAGATGTGGATCCCCTCGGACACCCCCTCTCTCCGTCCATATGCTGATGGCTCAGGCAACAGTTCAGAGCTGGCCATTCTCTTTGGGCATCAGGTGCCTAGGACCTGTGTCAAAGCTGAAGTCCACTGTGGTCTGAGGGCTCGGGGCATCTCTGGCTTTGCATTCAGCCTTGCTCTGGGGCATGGGAGGTCCTGAATTCAGTTGTAGCCGCTGTCTTCTCAAAGACCTGCTGGACTGCACAGTTGTACATCTGCCAGTGGGCTGGGCAGTGGTTTGTCACTACAATTTGCTTGTTTATTCATGAAAAGGAGATTTCTCAAACCTCAAAAATGGTTGGCCTCTGATGAAATGGTCTGTATCCTAAACATGCTTGGGAATGGTTTATTGTACTGAACAGTTACCTGAATTCTCCCTGACGGCTTAATTTGGAAGAGAGTACGGTAGAGTTTTCTTAAATGTGCATTTTCTTCCTAAACTGTGGCCTGGTAAAAGCAGGTAGGAAGGTAGACATAGAAGACTGTTGAGACAGTCAAAGAATTGAGATCAAAAAGAGAAATATCATGAATTAAGACAGATTTTTTGGCAGCAATTTTATAGAAAATACGGTTATTAAACACTACACAATGGGTAGTGAAAGCACCTAGAGAAGAACAGTACACTGCAATGGAAAAAGCTCTGTGCGCAGTGGTGAACATGCCGCGTGGACTGTTAGTGAAGAGAGCAGGAGTGTTGCAAGAAAGGGCTGCAGGAATTGGATGAGAACTTTTGGATGCATGACATGTTTCTGCTTTGGGGCCAAACACCTACTTGAAGTATGTGGTGGTGGCGGGCAGCCCTGGATGAGGGCAGGGCATGATAACGCTCTGATTAGGAGCTGTGATGTAGCAGCCTTACTGGAAAGGACCTGGGAGGGGTGGCGGATGCCAAACTGAACACGAGCCAACAATGTGCAAAGATGGAGTACTGCAGCGCGGGCTACAAGAGCGGACAGATGGCTGCTTGGTCTCGGTTGGTTATCACCCCCGCTGTTTGGTGCGAGGGAGGCCACATCTGGATAGCTAGGTCCAGTTTTGGTCTGGCCAGGACGAGGGATGTGGAGACGCCAGTGAGGCCCCGTAGAGGCTGACAAACTGGC